CAATCCTTGTTTTCTTACAATTTACAGTTAACAATTTGTTTTTTTTTGTTTTTTTTTTGTTTTTTTTGTTTTTTTTTTTTTGATTTTTATAATTATTTTTATATTTATAATTAAAGTTTAATATATTTTATTACTACGTATATAAATAGAAAGGAAATTAAAAAAAAAAATTCAAAATTATGTGAAATTTTTGAAAATATTAAATTTTATTTTCTATATAAAATTGTTTAATGTACGTGGGTGAAAGTAAATAGAGCTAGTGGTTTTATTAATTTGCTCTAGAAATTTTTGGATCAAAAATTATTTGCTATAATTAAATCGTGTCGAAAGTTGTAATCCTTTAAAAAATGGAATATTTGAGCATATTTTTAAAATTCCATAATTAATATTTAATAATTCACATTTAAAAATAGATTCCTAGGAGTCTTAACCCTTAATTATATACTATTTACATATGCTCTCAATTATATATTATGGTATGATCGCCAATCAGACAGTGTCTAGTTAAAACCCCCATCACCGCGCCAATATCCACCCGCTGGAGAGATATCAATTTGTTTGCGCAATGCAACCCTAACTTTGGCTACAACCTCCTTGCGTTACATATTGTTCCCATCTCTGTTCTTACATATGTTGGTACGTTCCACCGTTGCATTGTGTAGAATCAGGCTGTGAGTGCTTAGAAGAATGTACAGGTTTCCAAGTAGAGTTCCGATGATTGTTGCATTCCTCGCAAGCTCATCTCATTACGAGATGACTGACAATCTAGGACTGTTCTGAACGTAAAAGTCTCAAACACCAGCACCCTCATCGTGGCCTGGCTGTCCATGAAGATGTTAATTATTAATATTTAATAAATAACACAAAATAATTTATGACTAACACAATGTCAGAAAGCTTAGAAAATTTAAATTTTCTCTAATTTTATTCTCATTAAATTTAAATTCAAGTTCACTATAAATTTAATAATCGATTATTATTTTTCTTTTTTCCACATACACATAAAATATAAAATGAGAAAATTTATAATTAAAATATATTGTTTCATTCATTATAAAATTATTCACACATAATTTAATACTTTTCAACTTTTATAATGACTTTCAAATATTATACAAAAAAAAAAAAAAAAAATTATAAAATTATTTTAGTGCATAGTACAGAATGTACCAAAAATTATTGTACTAAATTGTAATTTTAATATTTAATTATTAATATCGTCAATAAGGAAGCATCCAACTGGAAATCATTCATTATAAGCAATAAATTTCATATTTGCATTTTTCCTGGAATTATCCATGACACTCTAAATAAATTTGACTCTTGAATCGGACATAACTACTCTTAGTCGAACATAAACTATTGAACATAACAATTAATTCTGTTTTAATAATATGAAAAACAATAAATAATTGAATTTTGCAAAAAGTATGTTTATTATCCCAACTATTATAAGATCCAGCGGTATAACAACAACCCTATCTGGCCAAATTTATCCTTTGATAGCCGCCTTAACTCAACTTTACCTATAACTGCTATAAGGTTCATATAATTTAAAAATTTCCGAACACCCTATCCTATATTCTGTTCATTTAAAAAAACATCATTTAGAGCACTCCACATTCGAATTCTATATTCCAACCAACATTCATCTTTCTTTCATAATTTTCAGCCAATTTTGCTATAATTTCATCCTTTATAATATTTTTAATGAATTATGTAATATGAAAAATATTAAAAACACTGAATTTAATTAAGAAAATTGTTGAACTTATTTCAGAATCAAGTACAACAACAACAACACAAAAAAAATTTATGAAAATTAAAATGAAAAGTGAAGAATTTTCCTTTTAACATTTTTTACATAACTTTTTCCTTTCATAAATTTTTTTCTATGTTAAAAATTAAAACAAAAAAAAAATAAAACTATTTTTGATTTCATAAAAATTATTAAAGTTTGAAATTAAAATTCTATTACTTTATTCTAGTACAGCAAGTATAGTTTCCGAACAATTCTAATTTAATAATCCTTTTTTTTATTATACACGTACATATGTGTATGCATATATGTGCTCTGGCATATAAGAGAGTTCGATAAAGTTATATGTGGCTAGTGCTTTATGAATATTTTAAAATTTTTACCAATTTTTTCATATTAAATCAAGAACAAAGTAAAATTTAAATTTCCCTGAAAAATTTTTCATTTTCAATATTATTCCAGTTGAAAGCGCTCTTAATAAACATTATATATGTGTGTATATATAAAAAGCTCTTACAAAATACCTCCCATTTGTCGATTGGCCTCCATATTTAATGTGGGAGATATGCATCGGGACATACCTCCATTTTTAATATGTGGAAAAGACATCGAGATAACATTTTACCGGTACAAAATTGACATTAATTCCCGAAAGCAGAGTGGTTCGGGACTGTCTTGGGACAAGTATATCAGTTATAAGTAGTAAGGGCTGTTACTAAAAAGTAGTCCAGTCGGCACTTTTATATGGTTCATGGTAATGGTTAGCATTATTTGTTCTCTGCACATTGGAAGCTTTGACTTTCAAATTTATGTGGATGATCTGGTCATCATTACTACATAAAAAAATTACTGAATGAAGAAAATATGAGATAGCACTAAATAACTTATAGTGATAGCCGAGTATAATGGGCTGCATTATAAGCCATTCAAAACTAGAATAAGTATTATTTACAAAATGGACGAATTCAGACTGATTTTGTTAATTTTTACTCTTCTCGATATTATACTAGTATAAGCTATAGTACTTTTGTCTAAGATAGAGAAAACAATTCGTCACAAATTACCATAACTGACTAGAAAATTAAATTTTTTGAGTTATAACATTTTTTACAAAAATCATGCAATATTCTTATTGGTATTTTCCTTTTATAGAATTTTATAAAAGAGGAAATAATTTACAAAGTTATTTGTAATAGTTGGAAATTACTTTATACTCGTAATACTTGTTATACATATATTTTGATATACATAATAGGAAATATTAAAAATTTTCTATTTAAATTTGCCTTTACTAATATTTTGGAATATAAATTTGGATAAATTGTTCTAATAGCCAATATTATTCATTTTTGACTTATTTTAAGATTAAATGTACTTATAAAGGATTAAAAAAGTTTTTAAAAACTAAAATTTAAAATTCTTTAATCATGAAGAAAATTTTTATATAATTTCATTCTTAATCTGATAAAATAATAATTGCGGCCCAAGTTATTAGATTGAAATCTTAGAGAATTCGATCCCGAGAGAACAATAAGAAAACGAATTTCTGAGAGAAATGGATTGACATAATTCTTAGAAGAGAAAAATTGATTTGTTTAGACAATTATACTTTCTATAAGAGAGACGAACTCATATTATGATTGTAGAATACTCATGGAGAATGTTTTCGTCAAATACATCAGAACTCATCTTTAATCTCTTTAACTATATATAATGTTTAAGTCGAGCTAATACTCTTAATTGTGTTTCTTATATTTCAGCTTTTTACAGTCGATAAAAAGCTGAAAAAGCTGAGGTAAATGCGGTCGACATTGCACAAAATAAGGAAGGTTGTGTGATGGCACCAAATTTCGAGTGTTGAGTCTTCGGTGGGAACGCACTTCTCCATAGTAGAGAAGTGTACATAAACTATTTTTAGAGAAATATCGGTCTATCGGTCTGCCGGTCTGTCAGTCTGTCTTCCTGTCAGTTTACGTGTGTACGCGTATATCCGAAATTCGGCTGAACCGATTTTGATAAAATTTTATATGTGAATTTATTTTGGCAATGGTACGCGTTAATCAACTTTTGGGATATATTTGATCTCGGAAACTAGACTTTCTTGCGGGCCGATTTTTTGCGTATACAAAGTGAAATGATCAAATCAATTTCCTTGAAATCGAATATTTGAGTTTTGGTTGTTACTAAAACTAACTGGCGAATTTTTCAGGGAATTCAAGTGTCATAAACCGAAATTCTACTATGAGCCAAATTTACACTTTTATAGGTATGTTAGATAAAAGCTTACTAATTTCTTTAAAATTGAAAGGAACTGTTCAAAAATGTATTTTCATAAACTTCTGTAACATTTTCACTAAATTAGCCAATATACACATTGCGCTCGGTTATGAGCTGACCACAATAAAAGTTTTTTTTTACTTACATTTTATTTACCCTACTTACAGTAATCGAAATTATAGAAGTTCCACTGTTTACTTTGTTATACTTTAAACAAAAAAAAATGAATTATAATAGAAAATTTCCATACTTAAACTAGTAATATCGAAATTTCAAAAATTCTTTTATGTACGAATATTTTGATTATTTTTTAAAATATTAAAAATTTCCATGCCACACCAGAAAATTTTTAAAATATTTGAAAATTTATTCCAAAAAAAATTTTTAAAGGAATTTTTTAAATTTTATTGGTGATTATTGATTTTACATGAAACTTATTATTATTTTACGATGTGTAGGAATTGAAAACTTTAAAATTTTACAATGCCTGAATGAATCCTGAAAAATATGCTTTAAATTTTAAAAAATTTTTGGCTCAATCCATTAAACTAATTTAAAAAGTTCATTTTAGAAAAGTTATTTAAAGTACCAATTTTAATTCCAATGTGTATAGAACGGCAACAAAACTGTTATATTTTATCAGAGATCTTATGATAAATTGATTTACCTTGAAATTTAATAAAAAATTTTTCAAAAAAATTGATCATTTCCAAAAACTTTAAAAACTTATTTTCAATAATAAAATTGAATTAGAATTTTATTTTCTTAAAGATTGTTTGCTTAATTTGCGTCCTTTACTCTTTTACGTATAACACAATTTCATCTATACCTCTTATATATTGTTTACATAATATTAAAAATAAATATATGTACATATATAATTATGTAGTTATAAATATATAAGTTAAAAATATAATAATATTTTTTTTAATAATTTCTCTTTATTTTTCTTCTTATTTTACAGGACCAATAAGTCACCCTAATGATTCATACATAATAAATTCAGTATATAAATATATATACCATCAAGTGTATATATACCATCGTACAGGTAACCATTATACAAAAACTAACGAAAATAAAAAGAAAAAAATTTACAATTCTTGGAAAATACAAAAATAAAAAAAAAAGGATATTTCAGGGATATTTTCTGTTTTAATATTATATACAAACAATAGGGAGAAAATCGTTTCAACAATTTAATGCTCTTTAGAAAAAAAAATTTAAAAAAAAAAAATATATATTAAAAACACTCACTCATCTTATTATTCTGTTGCCTTTAGCAGTTAAAGAATTAAATGAAAACAAAAAAAAAAAAAACTAAAATAAATAAATAAAGGACGAAACGAAAAAGGACGAAAAAATTTTTTTATTATTGGCTTTTCTTTAACCTCTGGATTTTTGGCTTTTATTCCCTGTTTTTTCTTATAATATTGTGTTCCATTACTCGTATGCATAATATATTGGGAATTTAAATATCAAAAACTATTTAATAAAATTTTACAATGTAAAAGAAGCAGAGAAAGAAAAATTGTGAAAAATTCGATATTTTTTTTTTCTTTAATTTTTTTGTTTTTTAGTTTTTGAAAAAAAATTTAAAGAAAAATTTTAAATGACAAAAGAATTTTAATCTAACTGTTAAAAATAAATAGAAGGAGATAATTTTTAAAATATAAACATATTATATAAAAGTGATATATATACTCGTATATATATAAATATGCATATATACACACACACATAACTGTTATATACAAATATTATATATTTTATAATAAATTTTAAATATATTATTAAAATTAATTAAAAAAAAAAATACAAAAAATTAACACCATTATTTGCTCATTCTCATCTCAGCCATCTCAATAATAACTGAGAATTTAAATCAAAAATTTAATTATTAAACAAGAAACACACCAATACACTAACCCCGCACATGTGTGTGGATTTTTAAAATCCAAATACCTTAAAATTATTAAAAAATATAATAATGAAGTGTTAAATTAAAAATCATTCAACAAAACTAAACCAATACAACAATCACAAACAAAAAAACAACACTGTCTAAAAACAATATTAGAAAAATAATAATAAAATTTAAGAAAAGAAAAAAAAAAAACAGTTAACAAATTCACCAATATGTATCAAAAATACAATAATAATAATAAAAATTTTTATTATGAAAATAGTAATGAATTTCATTATAATAATGGTAACAGTAATAATAATAATAATAATGTAACTACTCAAAAGCTCAAAAGTAAAATTAATTTTATTAATAAAAGTAGTTATAATAAAATAAAACAACAACAAGAAAATCAACAACAATTACAACAACAACCACAAAATCAACAACAGCAACGAAATCATACAAAACAACTAAAACATCATCATCATCATCATCATAATAATAACAATGATAATCATACCAAGAAAAATAATCAACAACAAAGACAACAAGAACACAAACAATATAAATCCTTTGAAGTAATAAATACAACAAATTTTTGGGAGAAATGTACAAAATACAGTTATATATTTATATTTAACTTTATGAGCATGTGGTATATATTAACATTTAATGTGGCTTTTACACATGCATGGATAAATGGTATAATATTACCTGATGAAAATGGTAAGTAAGAAAAAAAATAATTTATTTTATATATTTATATATACATACATTTTACATTATATATATTAAAGTTTAGAAATAATAATAATAATAATAATAATAATAATAATAATAATAATTAAAATAAAAATAATATATGTATGTATATCTAAAGGAAACAAGACAAAATAAATGGGAGTGGGTAGATTTGACCGTGTCAATTCTGTGGATACCCGTACGAATCCATGATTTTAAAAATTTGTATGACATTCACACACTACTTCATATTATAGTGTACAGTTTATTTATATAGTATCATAATATCTCTAGTAGTATATATGTGTGTTTTTGTGCGAAATTTCAAAATAACTAACAACTACTTTATTAGTTTTTTGAGATATGGTCATATCATTTTTGAAGCTATACAGCCAATACTTCAATTCCGTCCAAATTAAATATAGGATTCCGACATTTAAACTATAATAACTAAATATTTGTGGAAATTTTATGAATATAATTCAATTTGTTTTTGAGTTATCGCTTGAACAAACCAAACAGATATAACTAAATCGGCTCAGATTTCGATTCCGACTAAAAACATTTATTTATGTCTATCAGATACCGTTATTTCTTAGGATTACGGAATGGTAAATTTATAATACCCATTGAATATAGAAGTATAAAAATTTTATAATACATTGACAATATAATTGTAGTTGAATACATACACGATAGTTACCATAGCTCTATAAAAAAAGCCTAAAGGCAATACATACATGGTTATCCTCAAAATATGTGAAAAATTAGAGAGTATATAGTGTCATAATGTTATAAATGTCAGTGTCGTATAAATGTTTTTATTTTTTTCGACATTATGAAGTTTAAGGAAATTTATAAATATCGGATTTATTAGGTGTTACCGTTTTTGTTAATTTTACATAAGTAAAAATTAAAATTTGTATATAAAAAAAATAAAATGACACTATGCTTCACTTTTATTAATTAAATTCTTTGTAAAACTAGATTTTGAATACGAGCAATTCATTCAACAAAAATTTAATGAAATGTCACTCGTAATGTCAGTAATGTCAGTTTGACATTTTAAAGAATTTTATCAAAAATTAATATTCTTTTCGAAAAATAAACCCTTATTGAACTTGATTTATTCTAAATTTTGACAATGCATGTAACTTAAAATTAGTTAAATTGATCTATAGGAACTTTGTATTTAACTGTATATTCAAATTCTATGTAATTAAATAATAGTTCCTTAGGGTAATTCTTATTAATAACTTATTAGCGGATTATTAGGTTATTAAATAACCAATAACAATACTAATATAAATATATATACATACATTAAACATATAATAATATCTTCCTCTTAATCTTCTCTGAACTTTGTATTTTGATATCATTAAGATTAGATCAAATATAATTTTCCAAGATTTAATTAATTAATTAAAATATTTTCTTTTTTTCACAACACAGGAATATCAAATTTTTAATATTATATGTTTTTCACTGTAATTTAATTTTCCAACTAAATTTTGAAAGTTGTTTATAAAACATTTATAGAAAAAAAAAAACGAAAATGGGTAGAATTAAAATATTGTCATCTGTATGATACCCGATAGAACTGTGTGAATCCGAAAATTATTCATACACGTACAATGTATTAGTTACTGAAACTTCATGTTTTTAAACAGCAGCCTCTTCTTTGGTAGCTTGAGTATTCCCAGGAAAATTTCGTTGATATAGTTTGCATCAGTGTAGTTTGCCACACTGTTCGTAAGATGTGATAAATTTTATTAGAATCTTTCTTATCAAAATATTTCTTTCACCATCTATTATTTTACTATATCACCTATAAAATTTATATTTCCCTCTTATTCAATTTTGTATTTGATCTGAATCTGAACACAATTCAAAAGAAATCATTCTTCCACATCATTTATAATAAATTTCTTTCATAAATTGAATACATTGAAAATAAAGAATATAGAATATTGTAGTGGAAACCTTGTAGAGCACCGATTTAAACTCTGATTACCTTGGCGTGATAAAATTTTACACTTGAAATTTTTTTTTTGAACAATAAAAATGAAACCAAATTGCTAAAACCAAACGGATATCAAAAGCTTGTAATATTCAAAGTTAAATTCAATGTCACTTTATTATACAAAATGACATTGAAGAATACTTTTTATAATAATATTGTATATAAATTTGTGTGCGCCTTATTGTATGCAAACAATAGTAGCAATTCTTTAAGGACAATCAATTTTTATTTATTTTTCTTTTTTTGTAAAATTTGTAGTATTACAAAACTAAACAATTTATTCAAATTTTTAACAAGAAATAAAATAGTTAAATAATACAAACAATCTTTGTATATTATACAACGTTCATTTTTCATGTCGGACAAGTTGACATTTACATCATTTGTATAGAGAAAAACGCTTTTAAAAGCATTTCATTTGTCCAATATAGAATGAATAAAATATAAGTAAAGGATTTTCCTTGTTTTTGTGTTTTTATTGTTTAAAAAAAAATTTAATTTAAATAGAAAACTATAAAGAAAAAAATTTTGAGACACAAATTTTTGGTTTTAGTAAAATGAGTTCAACATGTTGCACAAAAAACGATTCAGTAGACAATTATTTTAATGAATTTTAAGAGGAAAATCTTTTTAGAAGTGATGTCTGTCACCGGCTTAGTCATATTCTTTTATTGAGTTTTTATAATTAAACTCAATAGAAATTTCTTGAAATTTAATTATCAAAATTAAAATTTTAAAACTACAATTTTTCGAAAAACAATATTGTTGTCGTGAAATTATTTACGACATTATTAAATGAGAGAATTAAGATACTATTTGCCTTTTTTTGATGAGAACTACACGATTTTTGATTCTGAATTAAATAAGCTGTATTTTAGTGAAAGAAAAGATTAAAAAAATCGGGCTTCAGGAAAAAATGTCACATAGCATTTGTATTTCTTAACCCTTTCATTGCATAATGCAATAATCCATAGTCGGTGAATAAAAATTACCCAACCGAAGTTTATAATACAATTGAAGAAAATAATTAATAAAAAGAAAATTTTAATAACTCAATTCAATATCTTCCACAGCCTTAATAGAAATAGGTAAGGAATCTACTCCAATGACGAGAAATGTTTAAGCTCTAATTTGTGTATTATGGCATTCGGTACATTTCTTCCACCAAACTCTCCGAATTTCGAATTATAAAATCTGTGCCAATGTGATATTACTGTATGAGGTCAAAAGCAGATGACCCATTTGAGATACGTGATCCATCAACTATATTGTTGATAAACTAAATACATAGCATGATGATTCAAGGATATCGTTCCGGATTTCGTTTACAAAAGTTGCCCAAATGCCTTAATTCATAACTTTTAGTTTACTACCATTTATATAAATTCAAGTAGGCATTCTCCTCTTTTATTTTTATATCGATTCTTTACCAGACAATGCGGTGGTCATTTGTAATACTTACTGTTATTAATTCGAAATTTCTTCATCCAGAGACATCAAACACGAACTGAAAATGATTTATTAATTTTGTTACTTTATTCACTATGTTTTTATGCTCAACTCAACTCAATTATCTGAAAAATATTCCAAATAAAATAATTTAAGCATAATATATTGAATTGGAACAAAACATGATTACTGTTCGATACCTGAACTGAGAACGTGACCTGAAATGAGAACGTCACTGAATTTAAAAAAAACGTGTGCATAAAAGTAATTACTTTATATAGAAGATAAAGTTGTAATAATTTTGGGATTAAAATAAAATTTTATATAGAGTCACAAGTTCATGTACGAATATATTATATAACAGAAATAATTTAGAACAGTTTTATGTGTTAAAACAATTTAATACAAAAAAATATAATATATTTTTGTATAATTTTCTACTTAAAATATATAAAAAACATATTCTTATATATAAATCATTATATAACATGAATTTACAAAATTAAATAATATAAACGTATATAAGTATACTCGTACAATGACGGCTTTATTCGTATAAAAATTATTATAAATATAAAGATGACGGCAATACGCGACAACATTTTCGCACGATTTTATGTATGCATATTTAAAATAATGATCACACAATATTATTATATAAAAATAACTAGTTTAATTGTATAAAAATTGAATAATTTTCTACCATATTGCTCTTTCTTAATATCGTTTTCCTAATATGCTAATAAAAAAGAAGTTAAAAGTAATAATAATATTTTTTTTGTGCCTCAAAACATAAAAAAGTT